TGTTACCACTATGGGATTATATCAAATGATATTAAATTCCCTCCTTAACACATCCTTTCCTCCATGACAAATCTGAATGAAATTATTTAAAACGTTTAAAAACATACCTGAAACCAAAGTTGCTGCTTTCAGCTTCTAGAACACGTGTAAAATGGGTTAGCCAAAAGTCATAAGACGTAAGTCACAAATCAAAAGTCAAAAGTCGAAAGTCAAAAGTAAAATATCCGTATGTCGAAACTCAAAAGTGACCCTCCAAGGCTTCCATACATTTGGGCTTCCTCGCATGAATAGTTCGACGCCCCATAGGAGTGTCGAACCTACAGCGGTTAGGGGGAAGTGGTTTTTTGAAATCACTCGGCCACGGAGGCCACTTCATGATCTCAGGAAGAAAATGAGAAAACTATTCCATACATATTTTGTTTTCGTCAGATAAAATATCGCCATTTTCCGACAGATCCGCCATTGAAAAAGCTCTTACAACGTGTATGAGTCCCTAAAATAATCCGGGTAATGCAATAATTATGGAATATCGGCCTCGCAGAATCGGACGAGACGGGAAATTCCGACGAGACACGAATCGATGCACGATATTGTAACACGAGATCTCGCAAAGTCGAAGTATCCCGTACCACAAGATGTCAAAGTAGCATATCGTGCCTCACTTCATGTTTTTGTCGGACTTTCGCTTTTTATGTCGTGTCTCTCGGTAAAATATCGCGCATCGCTTCGTGTCTGTGCTTCTCAAAGGTTTGACTATGGTAAAGGAACCAGCGCGGAGCCATCTGGCCTTGTCGTAATGGACCACATTTTTTCACTTAGCATGGCCACTGACATCTAAATTTAAGTTATTTTCTGTTTAAATTTCATCATTGATATCTTTTTGACATTTTGGTAAAAAAAATGCGAGCAAAGGTTGTACTTGATAAAGTTAATTTCAATTTTAATATTGGAGGTTCTTCCACGTCATAGCAGATTTTGTAAGTGATTTTATGTTAACAAATGTGACGCTAGACATTTTCTAAAGAGATGCATGACTCCTACTTTTATCAGTTTTATCATAAGTCATGATTTGTTCTGTAAAATGAGTCTAGCTATGTTTTGTAGATCTTCGAAAAACGTCCGTTTTATATAGATTATAAAGGGAATACTATATATCGAAGGATATTCTTGTCTCACATCGAAGTACGAGATGCGAAGCGAGGCGCGAGATTCCAGCGAGATGCGAAACGAGTCACGATATTGTATCGTTTAAACAGGTGTTTCGTTTGGACATAAGCAACAACGTTTGTCTCTCTGATCCACTATGCACGAGGGTACAATTTTGAAAACGCGATGGTGCGATGATGAAAACAACACGGCACTATGATGAAACAACGATGACAGGATGGTGAAAATACGATGGTTCGTTGACATGATGGTGAATATAATATCGCGTTTTCATCATAATGTCATCGCAGTTTCATCATTTTACTAACGTATTTTCACCATCGTAGCATCGTGTTTTCACCATCGTACCATCACGTTTTACCATCGTACCATTGTTGTTTCACCATCATACAATCGTTGTTTCACGTTCGTATCATCGTGTTTTCTCCATCGTACCATCGCGTTTTTATCATCGTACCATCGTGCCATCGCGCTTTTACCATTGTACCACGGAATGTCGTGCTTCAGGTTTAGCAAATCAAATTTCTTGAATTAGAGGTATTAAAATATATAGTTCCACTGTAGGTTTTAGGTTTAAGATTTTATATAAAAACATTTGCAAACCTATTTATGATGAAGTAAAATGGCGAACCTCGTTTCTAAAACAAAATCTACCGTGTGAAAATATGTGACAAATAATTCATAACAAATGACATGAGACAAATGTGCTTTCTTGTCCCTTAAAAAACATGAGACAAATGTGTTTTCTTGTCCCTTAAAAAACTTGATCGGAGCACATTTGTCACACAAATGAGTGTTTTGGGGTAGACATTTTGAGGTCCCATTTGTCTCACGTGGGACAAATGCGAACGCATCGGTCTTACGTAAGACAAATGTGTTCCGAGACAAATGTGCTCCTACAGCGCGCGAATAATCCCATGAAATGACTGGTTCGCCTTGCGTCGATATTTGGTCACGTGCTTCGAATGAATATTTACAATTTAAGCAAAAGTGTATAGCGCAGTGATCAGAAAATTCATTCGGTGACTGAATTTCAAAATTTGAGATATGCTCGAAATCATTGTAGTTCGCTAGAACATAATCTATTACCGTTGCTGCAGTATTATTAATAAAAGTAAATTCCCCAATACCGTTATCATGTTTTTACCTGCCGTTTGCTATAACGATATTTGTAGATTTACAAAGGTTTATAAGTCGTTTTCCATGAATATCAAGAACTTTATCTTTGTTTTTTCTTTCTGGTATATTTACATTACTTTCTAAGTCATAATTTGAATCTAAAAACATATCGTAAATGATAAAATCGCGCTCGTTTGCAGTTCTAGAGTTAAGATCTCCATTTATAAATACTTTTCCTAATAATTTGTATTTCTCAATACCTGATTCTATTAATCAAAAATATTTACATCATTATGCCTAATAACATTTGATGTATATGGAGGAATATATGTACTACAAATAAAAACATCATTATTAAAGTGAAATAATGTTTTACATATTTTAGTCCAAATAATACCACATTGGTGACTTTCGACAACAGAAATTTTGTCCTTTAAATTTGATTTATAATACAATGATATGCCACCTGAATAGCGTCCCTTTGTAGTATTTGGGGATTTGTTTCCATATAGATGAAATGCACTATATCCGTTTATGTCTAAATTGTAACATGTGTTTTTTGAGATCCAAGTTTCTGATAATATGATGATATCATATGACTGAATATTATTCAAAAGTCTAAATCCGAAATTTTCCTTGAAAGTCCATTAATGTTCCAACTTAAGATACTTAGCTCCTCTCGACTCCTCTATGCACTAATATGGGAAGATTTATAGATTACACCGTTAACATACAAATTTTCACCGACAAATTTCACTTTATTTCCTTTTGATTTCTCTGCTTGATAAACTGTTGACAATTTCTGTCTAGCCTCCCTCCATTCTTTTGGAATCTGAGCTGATACTCCACATTTGATCTCTTTAAGCTTTTCCTTTTTCTGAAACGAGGCTTCCCTAACTATTTCTCTTTCTTTGAAATAATGGAACTTAACAATGATAGGTCTTGGGAGTTTCGCTGTTTTGGGATTTCCAAGCCGGTGCGCTCGATCAAATAACATGTGTTCGGAATCAATATCTTATTTTGTACTGATGAAGCCTTTAACTAGTTCTTCACACGTTTGATTTTCTGATGATTTTGTTTGTGCAGACGGTTCATCTTGTGACAAACCGGAAGTAGAAGTTGGTTGCTTTGGCTGTGTTGTTTCGGGGGTCTCAGGTATTCCGTAAAAGATAAGATTTTCTCGCATACTACGAAATTCATTATCTAATGTTTTTGCCCGTATTTCAGCTTGTTGTTCTTGTATCATGTTCACAGTTTTATCTAGCGATTTGCGTGCCTGGTCTAGGTTGTTAATCTTATCTTGGCTAAATTTTATATCCTTTGCTTGCATATCGTATTCATTACTGAGAATAGAAACAGTGGACTCAACGTCATTAACTCTGTTGTCTATTTCATTCACTTTTACTTCCAAGTCAGCAAATTTCATATTTATTATATTAACTGTATTATCAATTTTTTCCACTTTTTGTTTAATAACTTGTATATCACTAATAATGTCCAATGCCCATTGCGGTGGTTGATTTTGTTGCGGGAACTGGAATTGTCCCGGTGGAGATTGAACGTTCTGTCCTTGAAATGGTTGTGAAAAACTCATATTATTCATATTACTGATGCCCGAAATAGTTGGTGTATCAAACACAAAATAATCCGATTGTAGGTTTCTTTGTCGTTTTGTACCGTTACCGTTATTGTTGCTTGTACTCATATTGTCATGTGATGATACACCTGTTAAACCAGTTTTACTGTGTTTTATACTGCTCGATTCGTGTGTAATTGTATCTTCAAACAATGGAGAAATTTCTTTTCTCTTCTCTTTCCGTTTGGAATCTTTGTTTTGTTTATTTTTCTTCGCCGGCATAGAGAAACTACCTTTATAAATCTATATATCCAAAAAATATTTATAAATCGTTTTAAATTTGCATTTAATCACTATTTCTGCACGAGCTGTAAAATCCATGCCCTCGTGTTGAGGGGAGATAATCATAAACACTAACAGGCATATAATAAATAGCACGTTCAATATTTCAAGACAATTTTACACTAATCCGTGATATAAATAACAGAATTTCTTATAGACATTGCGTTTTTACAGTATAACCCTAATTTATAAAGAGCAGTTTTGTTTTCTGTTTGTAACAATTCTAAAAACTTATATACAATTGGTTTGATATAATAATATTTTGCTATAATTTTTTACGTAAATCTGAATTTGACAAGTTTATTCGTTGATGTGCTCTTTGAAAATGATTTTTATTTGAAACCGGAAAGACGCTGTGACATACGTCGAGGGCAAAAATATGACGAACATGTTCTAATACGGGTGGAGATCTGGGCCCCTTGCAGGCAACAAAGTGGTGTTAACGTAAATAGACGTAACTGATCTGCAAACGCTAATACAAGACAACGCCTTTTGCAAAATATCTATGTTCTAGGTCTTGTGGTTCTAGAGAGGCGGATGGCTTTTTTTAATTTCTTCGTCTTATCCCTTTTTCTGCATTGGAACAACTTTGGAAGCCCTTCACCCTGAAACAATTCTGGCAAGTTTAGTTATTAGGATTTTTTCTTTTTTTTTTTTTTAAAGATTTTTTTAAGTACACTGTGTAAAAATCTATATAACACATACGCTCGCGCACGTAATTACGCACGCACGCAGTGACACAAAAATGGTTGTTTTCTTCATTTTGGTTATGACACACGTGTATATACATTTACAGTTGTTACTACTCACAGGCAAGATGCAAGGATGATACACTCGATTTGAAGGCGATGGGCAATTGCACATTCGCCACCACACCTCCGACAACTGGTAACTTTTAACCCTTTTGTTTGATGGATTAAACACTAGTTTTGCTGATAATGTAGTTGTTGTTTAATCCAAACCACGCAAAATATCTAAATTAACTCTGGATCTTTTAAAGGTTATTAAATTTAATGACAATGTACCAGATGTGCAGGCTGATCTGTGTTTGCATTAGTTGTGGTCGCTAACAAGCTATATATTATTTATTGTAGAAATACAAAAATGTTAAGGCAGAATTTTGCATTTGCGCTACTCATTTTGGAATTGGTTCTCAGTTGCTGTCAGTCTAGATATAGAAATGTATTATATAGAATTGTGATAAAACTTTAGTTGACTCGGAAGAAAGTTTTGGTTTTGTATTTCTGACAAAAAGTATTCAAAATATCATAGGAATATAATCTGGAAAATCTGTTATATTTTGCACTATTAGAAATGTTTGTCAGACAATACGGTACAATGGTTTTGCATGTCAGTATCTAGTAATTTTATAACCATCATATTTATATGTATTTTCTTTTAATTTTTAACGCCAATCTAGTCTACATAGTGATATTGTGATTAAAATGTTCACTAACAGAAAATGCACTTGCAGAAAATGCATGTACGTACAATGTCTTTATTTTACTAACATATATTTCATACGTAGGTAGAATTTCAGCGCATATTTATATATGAGCCGTGTCACGACAAAACCAACATAATGGGTTTGCGACCAGCATGGATCCAGACCAGATGCGCAGGCTGGTCTGGATCCATGCTGGTCGCAAACGCACTATGTTGGTTTTGTCGTGACACGGCTCATATATTGCTTTTACTGCTATATTTGACACACGTGATTTCTGTTGGTTTTAACACACAGCAGTCACAAGCACGACGGTAGACCCATTTCTTCAGGTTTTTTGCGCACAGAAAGATAGCATCACATGTCGCCTGGATGATACTTCTTCACCAATATGCGGTTCGAACGGACGACTTTATCGCAACAAGTATGACGTAAAAAATGTCTCATCATTTCTTCTCTTGTATTTTTCTTCTTCTTCTTTTTCTTCTTCTTATTGTGATTATTATTATTATTATCATCGTTATTGTCATTATAATTACTATTATTATTATTATCATCATCATCATCATTATTATTATAATGACAATGATGATGATGATTGTTATTATTATTATTAGGATTATTATTATTACTATTATTTCATTATTATTATTATTATTATCATTATTATTATTTTTTTATTATTATTATCATTATTATTATTTTTATTATTATTATTATTATTATTGTTATCATCATCATCATCACCATAATTATTATTACCTTTTGCTAAGTAGTTGTTTGATAATATAATATGTCATTAAATGTTGTACACTTCATATTAACAACACAAAAAATATCAAATAATCAAATAATAGTTTGCATTAGTTCGTGCCTTGTTAAGGGACGCAACACTGATCTTCATGAGAACGAGACTTAATTTCGCTAAGAAGATCGCCGTCTATCCAAGTGAACCACCCTGTCCATGCAGGTTTGATATTCCGTAAGAGCCACCAGTATCTTGCAATTTCGTCCCCTTTGTCAACTACGGCAATTGTAGGACGGCGTAGCAACGATGGTCCTAACAGTATTCCGTATGAACATGGAACTTTGTATTTCTCTCAGACATATTCCTGTTCCGGTGTACAGAGTACTTTCAAACAATGAAAAGATGCAGTTACTTTTACACGATCTCTTAAGCATTTTCACTTTGTAATTCCAGATGCTTTTTCAACATGGCAAAATGTGACAACCTAGCCCTGACGTCGGGAAGTTTACAGGTCTGCGTTGATGCTTTTGTTGGCAAATAGAATTTTCATGTACATTCTGTTTTTGCAGTTTCCATACATGATTTTAAAAAAAAATATATTTTCATCGCCGATTTCTTATTTTCATAACACTGATATCATTACGATTTTTGCATACCGATATTTGGGGGAAGACCATCACTGTCCACCGACAGTATTATAGTGTAATCCAAGGTGGTTTGGTTCTAGATATAGACAAATACTCTTAGTATGCTTGTAAACACACCATTATATCTAGAATATAAACGGTCAATAACTAAAAGCACTTCAAATTGAAGGAATGCACAAAATGTATATATTTTGAGTATAACGATTCCCGTCCAATGGTTAAAGTTCGTGCAAGATTCATACACACCTGAAATTTTTAGATCTAGTTCAGTTAAGGTCATATCAGTTTTGACACTTTTTTTAAATTGTTTTTCTCTAGTATAACAATAAATAGATCTAAATGTCATCCAAGAGGTAAGACGAATTTTGATCAAATATTCACGATCAAGACACTCTAAAGCACTACGAATCACATACACACTGTATTAAATCTTGCAGTTCCAGACAACATATTACAAAGTTTTTCCTTTTTAAAAGTTTATGCAAATTTGATCTATGTGGCACGTCAAAGCCAATTATTTCGACCGTGACTGGATCTGGCTAGCTTAAGAATGGACAAAAATGTGTTTCCCAATACTTTCGTTGAAACAGGGTCTTTCAAATAGAATGGTCTTGAAACACGCTATGTAAACCCTTCTCGCTACTATTTGAAATAAACCTTTACGATGCAGATAAAGCTTAAACATACCAACATACCGGCCAATAATGTACGGGGACTATGACTCAATTCTACGTGTGGGGCTAGCGGTTTAATTTCCTCTGGTTTGTCGAAAGAGTTTGAATCACTTTTCTAGTGGACATGTTACTATTTGACGATACTTGAGCTGATTTGAGCTGCCAGTTGCAAAAAAAAAAGCTCATTCGACATATGCATGAATAAGTATTCACTGGCAATGATTATCAAAGATCAAGCATGCATAAACAGCAAAATCAGTACCGCTGTTCAATAACTGGTGTAACACAGTTTCCCCTTTCTTTTAAAGTGATCATGATCAAACTTTGTAATATATACGTTTTTTTTGTTGTTGTTTTCTTACCTGGCACCAACATAGTTGATGTCATGAGGCTACTTTCCAGCTTTACTGATGAAGGAAGATCTCATTGCATACTTCCATGCAAGAACGGGCAACCAAGTACAATAACCGAATTTCACGAAGCTAGCTGGGTAAATTCCTTGTATGACGGAATCAAGCCTCTGGAGGGATTCGAACTAAAAATGGCGAGGGTCAAGTGGTTTGAAGTCAATGACCTTAACCAGTCGTCCGTTTGATATATAATTGCAAGTATAGGTAAACTTTAGCTACAAAGTAAGACAAACCAAGCAAGTATATTTCTATAAATGTATTTATCAACTGTACCAGACTTTGCAATTCAAAACATAGGATATAAAATCTCTTTAAGAAATGGTACAAAAACACTACATAATAAATTGTTAAATCATGTACAAAACAAACATAATCACTGGTACGTAATGTAAGTGAAAATGGTAACAACAATATATCAAATATATACATTACACTAAGAGCTACATGTAGGAACAAGTATTCTAATAGTCTCCCTTTTTCAATAATGTGCAGTTTTATGTACATCTAACAGTGCAATAGAGCTTAACAAAGCTCGTTCTTGAGCTTAATATTTTATGTGACTAAAAATTATCAAAATACATAGCTCAGTTTTATATTATCTTAACAAAATAAAGAACATTTTACACTATCTTTAATATCTCTAAAATTATTCATAAATCTATTATTAGACATAATTGTGTCTATTTTTTAGAACAAGTGGTCTATTTATAGAAACAAAATTTAATAAAAGATATCTATTTTTTGTATCATTTTTCTACTTCCAAGTAAAAATGTCAAAATTCTCTTATAAAAAAAGCAAATTTGATTCTAGTATCAATTTAAGTTCATTAAAATTTTATCCATTATTTATTTCTGTATGAAAGTAAAATTAACAAGTATAATTATATATTCTAGTGGTTTTTAACATAAAATAGTTGACTAGAATAGATTTGTCAGTTAGTGTTAATATAAACACATGGTTAAATCAGTCTATATGTTTAGTTACTATGTTATTAGTCACTTTCAATAATGTTGATAAACATGTATAATTATATATATATATATATTAACAAACACGGAAACAGAATATCAAAGTTAGGTAAAGAAAAAATGATCGACTTTGAGGCAAGCCGATATAACTCATGTGAGACATGATATATTTACAAATGTATGAAGAATGTTGCACTGTAGGGTATAGCACATTTGTCAAAATTGTCCCTATATATATAGTATATATTGTATATACATACACAAACCTAGAACCTAAGCTGGACACGAGAATACTGAACTAAAATCAGAGACTTTCACATACAAACAACAAAACTTGGATTTAAAACATAAAAAGAACTGGTAAGACAACTAATTATTAAGAAGTGGAATTTTATTGTAATATAATAAACATATCAAGTCTATCTGTTACAATATAAAATTTGGAATTCACAGAATTCCATTTGTCAGTTCAAAACTGGATCCCAACTAACCCAATACAGATTTTGCATATAAGAAAAAATCTAAATTCTTAAACCATATATTCAACTAACTTGCAAAGACGTAATTCTAGATATCGCCAAAAGAAATTTAAAAATTAAGTTTATAAACCTGTATTATACATGTATTAATTAATTCAGAAATAACTTTCTAAAGCTGTAAGAACTACCTAACTAGATGAAATAAGTATTGAATATTTCATTCAAAAAACATTCTATTCCTCAAACTGAATTGTAGCTGATAAATAGAAAGATTGTCCTTATATGAAGGCCCCAACCCTGTGTTTTATAAAACAATACATTTTACACGCTCTTTTTTAATATCTTTTCTGCACAAACACCCCTAAACCATTGGCTTATTATTCCACTCACAATATTAACACTTTTCAAACCATATTTATTATTACATAGTATTACAAAAACAAAACAGAAACAAAAAAATTATCAAAACAAACCAAAATATACAAATTCACCTCCCTAAACCTATATTCTAAACTACATAAATTACTTTCCTTGATCATAAAGGTACACAACTCTAGTATTTTAAGACTTTGACAAACACAGTAATTTCCCTTGTTCTAAATCCTTCCTGCTGCCTCGTTCAGAGATAGGAGATCAAATTCCATGGAATAATTGCAAGTTTAAATAACTTATACATGGCAATATATACAAACATGATAATGAAAGATGAAAAACTACCTACTCTTGCAATGTTACAATCTAATTGTATTACCAACAAAATACATCTACAAGATATGAACTTTACCAGTATCTTCAAATCATAGCAAAGAAACCAAATTAAATAAATGAACACAAAGATTCTGCACTAATTACCTGCATGGATTTGGGAAGATGAAGAATAACAAAATACAAATGTAGGAATAATAAAAGATGAAAAATTTACCTTATTTTCAAAATCAAATTTGCTTGGGAACGATAAAATCAGAATTGGATTCAACTTTTTTCGAAATTATTTATATTCAATAATTCAAAAAGGAATATTTTTTTATCTCAAGTATGATCATTGTAGGATATTATTTTAAGCGCATTTTGTAAGTAAAACAAATGAAATTGCAGTCAAAAATTCATGTTGATTTTTTTAACAAAGATGTATGCATGGAAAAATGAGTTTTATTGCTAATAGTTATACAGCATTATATCAATTTTAACCGACTAATCAGCACACAAACAACAGCCAAATATGTACATACATTTTATGATTATGAATTCAAATAGGGAAAATGTTGGCCATTTTATGCACAATTGTTCAAATTATTGCTCTATGTGTTATAATGCTCATTAAATAATACTCCTTAAAATGTTTACTGTATCATTTTAAGTGTGGTCATTTGCATAAATATTTATAAACAATTATTATGACACAGTTAATTTTCTCATTTCAATATTCTATTCTATAAAAGTGAAAACATAAAGCAAATTACGAAGCAGAAAAAAAATCAAAATCACCAGCACAAAAAAATATCAGTCTTCCTTCACTTCCCAAATACAATAGCACTCAATCTGGCAAATAAATAAACACATAATAAAACCAGAGTATTACGATGCACAAAAATCAAAATAAGACAATCACAAAAAAAAAAAAAAAAACAAAAAACTCTTAAAAGAAAAAAAATAAATTTTCAGAATGGCTAAAGTAATAAGGTCAATTTTATTTTACATCCTTTTTCCCAGGAGTAAATACCTTCACATACAAATTGTTAATTCACATAATGCTAGTCATATCAATAGGCAACTTTACATAACAGGTCAACTGGAAGATACACCAATGCAATGCTTAGACCTTGACCTTTCAGTGACCTTGACATTTGAATGACCTTGAATATAGGATAAACTTGACCTGTAAGTCCAAGCCCCCTCTTCCTGCAATTTTTTATATCAACAATATCACTATTCCGCAGTAAAAATGCTCTCAAATCTCTTAAAAATTGTTGAACAGTTACCTCTTGTATCGGACGGACATATCTACGACTCAATAAAAAATCTACATTAAACCTTCAGTGCTAGTTCAGCACATGTTTAAAAGACCTTGACATGTACATATTATATTATTGTTATATTCTATAAATATATACACTGTGACAATTTGCACAAAATGAAATATCGAAAACATATTGAGGATAAGAAACTAATACCAGTATGTACATATTACTATCTATACATAATTCTGTTGAATTATAATACGAAAAACAACTACATTTAATTTATAAGTCACAATTATATACACCAGTTTTTGCACTGACACAAACTCCACTAACAATGGCATTGCCATGCCATGTATTACTTATTTTTTTCTGAGGTAGTGCTATTTACAAATGTCACTCTTTTGAACAATAACCTCTAACAAAAGATAAAACAAAACAACAAAAAATATGACACGAAACCCCAACACAAAAATTAACAGCTTTTTCAAATAATCAAAACAGGTCCAAAACATGTCAGTTGATATTTAATGTCTAAATATATTAATTATTTTATGTTTATTTATGAAAATTACATTGCTCCTTACAAATTATAACTTCATAAGACTTATGCAAACATAGTCAAATCAATCTGTTGCAGAAGAAATTCCTAATTCTTTAAAACCTTCCCCACATAAAATGCAAGTCAATAAATATATCATTTTTTCACTTTCCTGTTTACATCTTTATTCTTACAGACAAAACTTGAACATATTGTCACAATCCAAAAATTTACGTAGTTTCAGAATTTTTTTTTTTACTTATGCATTTGGAATTTAACACTTTTTTCTTCAAAACGTCCACCCTTCGTACTCTGTTTCTTAAGTAACTCAAACTTCTAATTAGAGTAAATTTTCATGTACCTCATGTATTCAATCTTTTTTTTATATAATAAGCAAAGTCTAAGATATTAACATCTACCAGAATCTAAACATTATGGCCACAAGTTGACGGGTGTAACCTTTTAATTCATCCATTTACGGCAGTTCCAGGCTCCACAATTACACGGTATCTTGTTGGCGTCGTCTTCCACGTCAAATTGGTAGTCATATGACAGCTGTAAATACCAAAGCGTGTTACGTATGAATTATCACAGAATGTATACCCATTTAACATAAAACATCTAAAATTAACACACAATTATAATGATAACATATACTCACAACCATATTTATTGCAAAATTGTAATTATTTATACTTTCGTTACTGTTACTCTAGGTTGTTGAGAAAATCACCATGACAACAACATCATGTGACTATACCCTTCAAACCATTAGTATGACAATATCAGAATTATGTTCACTTGTACATCATTATACATGTATATCTTATTTGTATATAAGTCAAGCCATTCAATATTAGATTGCATAGCAACCAAATTATTATCACTATGGCAACAAAGCTCTCATCAATGTTGCCATGTAAACATATATTGATGCCACATCAGTCTCAGTCGCCATGGCGATGTGCCAAGCCACCATCACTATGGTAATGAGGTCACTTAGTTCATCCATTTACGACAATTTGGAGCACTGCAGTTACATGGTATTTGTGCTGATCATCTTCAAAATCAAACTGATAGTCATACGTAAGCTGTAACAAGAATGAAAAAAACACAAAGCTGCAGTAAAGTTAGTCTGAACTTCTCAATGAAAATACCCATCACCAATTGCATGTCTTCTTTTGTTACAAACAGGTAGAACATTAACCTAAACCACACTTCCCCCCTCCCCCACCACACCCCACTACTTTAAAACTGTTCTACTTTTTCTTCATAGAACAGATTTAATTTTAATTTTCGCATCCTGAACAGTAAGCAGCTAAAAGTATTTATTCTCTACAAAACATGAAGAACCCAAATGAATCAAATATTGACTCTTGAAGTTTCTAATCCAATTTCTCTATGAAATAATAGAATGTGCAGTTATGCAGAAAATTAGACATTCAAATAATTCATGAATTAGAAATGAAAATAAGCACAAAGTTAACACATTTAAGCAGAACAATACATGCAATTAGAATTATAATGGATAACATTTAAACAATTTATATTCAAGATAAATTAGAATTGCTTCTACTTGCACAACTTTTTCAATATTTCAACTGCCATGTTCACATAAAAGACATTCTATTGAAGCTTGTAAACATACATGTAGTTAATACACCAAGCACACAGATTCACAAAAGCTATATGTTTAAGTTAAACGTTCAGCTGATTAAAGAAATTAAAACAATGCAAGTAAATCAAGTATCACTTTAATCTTATGATAAGTTATACTCATGTTAACATGCAAAGAAACTCCGAGGGAAAGTTCTGCAAGTCTGTTGCAATATATAAGCAAACATGCAACATCCATGTCCCTGTGAAAATCACATTACTCAACTGATTTGATATATTTTTTCATTTCATATAAGACAAAAAGAAAAACAAATTCCAAAAGTCTTGGTTCAAAGCAGAAGAAATCTCTGCTTCTTTAACCATCAGAAACAAAATGAAAACTTAGAACACATCTAACTAGTACAAGTGTGTTTAAAAACACAGAGACACTATGAATGTCATATGGTGACCCTCGAGTCCAATGTGGAACAAGACAATATTTCATTGCTCATGCAAGCACCTGAGTAGAACCACAATCTTGAATAAGTTGGCTAAAATACAACTTCCTCACATGAAAGAATTCTATTTCCAAGAGTTTCCAGTTTACAGATGTCACAGTGATGTGACCTAAAATCAGTGATCCTTTACTGTCACCCATGGGACACCCTAGCCCTGTCTAACAAACATATTTTATATTCCATATTCTACTCACCTCCTCTCCTTTTGAGATCCTCCTGTTTGTGATGATGATAATTTTGCCTTCTTTATCTATCTCAACAACCTCGGCAACACAATTAGGGTCACAGGAGTGATTTATGTAACGTGCTGGCCCACCGGCCATTGTAGCGTCACAAACGGTGTCATTGTCTATCCTGAACATGTAAACTCCACGATTCTACAATATATGTTAATATACATTGTTATATTGTACCATAACAACATTTTTAAACATTATGTTTAAACATTATGCTTATATTATCCTTCTGTATGAAACCAAAATTATACTTTGCTTTTCTCATAATTGCTTTGTCTTTGTTTCTTTTTAAATCTACTCTTATATTTGCAATTAAAGCATTCACATATATTATACATCATCCATGTTTAACAAGCCCATACATCGTACCTTTAAACTGTAAGGAATCTATAAATAAGTAAATCTATTATATAAATACAGCAACTGTTTTATTTTTAATGAATAAAAAATGTTCAAAGAATAAAGCTTTGCTAATCTCACTATCAAAAATATATAAATATCTAAAAAAAAACAAAAACTTGTTATGTTTGGCAGATCATGAGATGTAAAGAGCCACAGAGTGACATATAGGGAGAAAATGGTCCTTATTTTAGACTTTTTCACTCTAGGAACTACCATGTTAATTGATCTTGTAATGCTGAACATAATTATACCGGTTTTATTGCTTGCAGTGACAGTAAATAATTTGATCATTTTACCTGAGATTCATAAGTCTTCTCCCTCCTGTTGGCAACTTCATTCCTAATCAGGTCTCCTATATACTCTATTACCATTGTGTGCATATCCAGGTCTTTAGCTGCATAAAGTCCTAGACCCTACAATCACAAAACCAAATACATTATAAGTTTATCTTTTCTTAGTTAATGCATAGACCCCTGACTTGTCTAATTCAAATAATCAGATTAGTGGTTAAAATAAGAATTTCACAAGATTTTATTAACAAAAGAGCACATGTCAATGTTTGTGGTTAAATCTATTGTAACTAAACAGGGGTCTACATTTGACTGTAGCAACTTGGTTTCTTAGTGTGAGTTGTTAAAATAGCCGGAATTTGTTATGAGTCGAACAAAGAAAAGGCAGAATCTAATGCAATGTGAGTGCTAGCTAATGCTCTCCCTATTGAGCTAAGCAGACAAGACAACAAAATGAAGACAGCATTTTAAAAACTAAAATTCAAATTATTAAATAATTTTCCCCAGTCATAAATAATAAACAAAATACAAAGATAGTTTAAGTGTACCATACTTAAAAAGGAAACATTTGTAACAATTCTTCAAATGGTAACAAATGATGTCTTGATAATATGTGTTACAAACTTTTATGACAAATTTTACAGCAAGATATTAAGACAAATCTAAAGTAAAATTTACCTTAACCATGTTAAATATCTTAAATGGACTTGTCTATCTTTCAGCCTGAATAACTATTCATTATGTTAGGAAATATTTCAAATATGTAGTGACAGTGGAGACCATGATCAGACTGCATGGATGTGCCAGCTAATCTTGGCGTGCACTGATCCAATGGTAGAAGATTCAAGGGCCTGGTGAACTCTTACCTGAATTCTTGATCTTCCAAGGTAGACAAGATTCTTCCATTCTGTCTTCAGTCTACGGTATTGTTGAGATTTGGAATGCACGAAATGTTTCATGTATGGGGAGTTTACGTCTCCTGTAAGGCTTGTTACAGTAGATGGCAGGGAATGGGTGTGGCTTGACTGTAGAGTATGTGGTCTAAAAATAGATCAAAATAACTTATAACATAGAGGATATTTCTAACATTAGCATGCTTTAATGTTTGTAGGTAACACAAACGATGTCACATCTAAGTGTTATTATACAAGTGTAATATTGTTTTCATTATATGGCTTTAAACACCCCAGGGCTGTAGTTTATGTGATCATAAAAGGTGTACTAAATTACATAGATCAAAAAAGTGATTTTATCTCATAACTTTAAATAGAGGGATGTTTCTCGGACAGTTTTAAATATACTACAAATTGATTTAAGTCTTACTTTTTAAAGTGTGTTCGGAGTTTTGGCTCGGATCTTGCACAGCCAGATGGATTAATGGTAAGAGGTAGGTCAATCAACTGGCGACGACCAAACTTGAACACATATTCCCTCAACAGATCTGTGCCTGGAAGCTGTAATATACAACAAATTTTGTATTAAAAAATATGTTTATTTAACCTGATTCTCAATGTAACAAGGTTTCAAAATAATTTATTATGAGCCGGAAAAATATCTTGTTCAAAACACTGCTTCATTATTGTTCAAGTGAAATGACTACTTATGTTGTCTTACCTTTTTTACAGTATAATACAAAAATTTATGTTATAAAAAACAACAAAAATATCATGTTAACTGATAATTCCATCATCAATAGACCTACATGTATAAAGAGCAATTAAGTCTTTTGAAACAAATAAAATCTTTTTTTATACCTTATAGAACTGCTTTTTACTACTTCTAATAATATAAACACTTAAAATGTCTCCATAGGAAATGAATGTCCCTACATTTCACTGTTTTGTCAGTCAACAGGACAGTGTGGCAGATGGACAAAGACAAATCTATATTCATGTAGTGGGGGGCATTAAAGGTATTGTAAAGTTCATAATATTACTGTCACATTGAGTGATATATATTGTAAACTCACAGATTCCACCAATCTGACAATATTTGGGTCAGTCAATCCATACAGCTCCTCTCCTGTTGTAAATGTGGGGAACACTTTCACAAGATCTGAATCCCGTCTCAGCTTCTCCAGGGGCTCCAATATGTTACGCCAAACACCAGCACAGGACGGATTCTTCAAGACAATATCTTCATGACCATCCTCTACGACCTTGACGCTGAACTCTGGTTGACCTTCGTTGTCTTGGATACTACAGATATACCTGCTACGTTTATACAGTTGACGCATACTCCAGTAATATCTAGAGGCCTTGTACCCAACCTGAAATAATAAATGTCAAAATAACAAGCAGTCTACATATGTTTTAAGGAAATCCATCTTGTAATGTAGTTAGAGTAGCAGCAAGAATTCAAAAAGTTTGGGGGGAAAAAATCAACTTACAGGATAAATATGATCCCTGGAATTGTACTTGCCGCTGGCCATCTGGTGAGGTAGCAATTGACCGATAGAGTGTAAAACCATAGAGCCAAGACGTAATGTATGCTGGCCATCTTCCTGCAGCAACATGCTGTAAATATACATAGATCACAATCATACATTAAATTTAATTGGAAGAAATAAAACTTCATAACTCTACACAACTATTAACCTTTTCAGCTGTTAAAATCTTGATCTAATATAAAATCTTGATAAGTCAAGGTCTTATGACAGAAACAGTGACAATTATTTATCATTCAATGGAGAAAATTTAGTTAGGAACACTGCAAATAAATATTGTGAACATATTTTCAGTCTAAATCATATTTATCAAATGCATTAATATCCCCTATTTATTATTTTCTAAATGACATATATCAGTAAGGCACGCTTTTTTTTAGTGCAATATTATTAGGGCTGCAACGATACACCAAATGTTCGATTCGATTCGATTTTAGACACTCCGATTCGATTTTTTTCGATTCGATACATTTAGAACTGATTAATATTTTATCTTTGGTATATAATTCTGCTTGTCTGCTCAAAAAGTGAGTGGCCTTCAACCTATAGTGCTTTGCTTTTCTGTTGTAATATAACTATTATATAAACTTATTTGACTTAATTATTCTGTTTATGAGAATAAAAAGCTCTTGTCTATTTAGAAATAATTTTAATCAGGCATATAATCATTCATCTCAGTTACATGACTATCACAGATACCTTCTGCTGACTAGGAATTTAACAAAGTATGTAAATTGTAAAGTTAATAATAATGAACAAAGTTTCACAAGGTTGTCAGAACTGATATTCAGATATTCTGTTTATAATTCCCATAAAATGTAAAATGAATAATCAATCCTAATGTCAGTGTTGTCACACAATACTTCTTAGTCTAGTAAACAATACAGAAATAATGAAATTCATGAACTTTTCACATTTTTTCACACTTGACTAAAGAAATAATAATCAATCCCAATGTCAAATATGCCTACTTACTGTAGTACTAATCAAACTTATTTCGGGAAGGCCAGGACACTGATAAAGCTGACCAAACAAGTCCACATCGTGTTTTCGTTTCATATGTTGCATTAAATTAGACGTACTGTCGGACTTTGGATATATGACATGTCCGTAAAGCATATTTTGCAAGTTTTATCCGTGTCCTGGCCTTCCCGAAACCCAAAAGTGTTCCCAAACCTTTGATTTTAATTTTTTAGGAGAATTTTTTAATTTTATATTATCAACATTGATGTTGGTACCCATTTTGACGAAAATAAAACATTACGCACCCACTGATTGGATGACCGAGTTTTAACTGGCCAATCGTATGTAACGTGATAAAGCGCGAAGGGAAAGACTAAAACTCTCACTTTTTTCCATGTTTATTTTTTGGGTGGGGAATCGAATCGAAAATGTTACAGTTGGTATCGGGAATCGAATCGGCGCTCATAAAACCGGTTTTCGATGCATCGAAAGGTATCGTTGCACCTCTAAATATTATACAGTCGACTCTCGTTATCTCGAAGTCTTCGGGACCGTCAAAAAAATATCGAGATAACGAAATGTCGAGATAAACGTATTTGGGTGTGAACATGTCAAAAACTAATTTTTTACAGAAGACATGCGCATACCTTATAAGTCAAATAAGTACGATGTTTCATAATCTTGTGTCAATCCTTATAATAAAAAATAACAATTTGTTACATAATTTAACGGATGTTTACCAGCGGAAATACAGCATTTAGGTGCTATGTGATTAACACATAGTGAGGTTTACTCAGTTATACACCACTAAAACAAAAACGTTGTTTTCTAACTTTATTTATTTATTTATTTACTTTAACATTGCATAATAACACATATAAATTACATGAACACATTTCATAGCAATCATTTTGTGAGAGTAATAGCGTATTTATAAAAGCACACAATTTATGAATAGTTAGCACGTTTATTTAATTTACCGATTATTCGATAACAAGTTTACAAACTGATATCACTTGCAGTAAAGTTTATTCTAATGATAGCACACAGTATTAAACACATTTTAATCACTTTTCAAAATACAGTGTTCGTATGTTTTATACATAACGGAAAATTCACTCATTTTCGACATAAGTCAATCAACACGCTAATTAGATAAACAATACTTTCAAAACACCTTGACTTGTTACAAACATATCATCATTAATTATTATGACACGCGCTTTGAGCGATAACCGTCCGCTTTGTGTTTTTCACACCTCTGCGGGAGGGCGCAGACAAACAATTATTTGTCGAGATAAACAAAGGATTATAGTGTGAAAATAACTATTGGGATTGAAATATCACATCGAGATACTGAAAAAATCGAAATAAAAATATCGAGATAAAGAAATATATTCAATATAGATAAAGAAGGGGAAAAAACGGGACTTTCAGAATTTGATCGAGATAACGAAATATCGAGAAAAGCGATGTCGAGATAACGATAGTTGACTGTACTAAACATTATTGGTTGTGCAAGTCCTTGTTCTGAACAAGTTATAATAACAAAATAAAACACATAAATACCAGTAAAATTACCAGCAAGATAAATACAGTATAATGAATAGAGAAGAATATTAAAATCTTACTTGGCAACTTGCTCATCTTCCTCTCTGTTGATGTAAACTCTACGATGTACAATCAAAGATTTGAGTACCTGCTCAAGTTGAACACCTTTTGGGGTGTGTGGTGGACACAGAATTGTCTGAAAAAGTTTGGAGTTTTTATAATAAATTATAGTGGTACAGCACATAAACTAATACAAATAACACATTCAATATAATTTCACATAAAAATATTTCAACTCTACATAATTTATGTCTTCATTTAAGTACTTGGCAATTTTCTATTAACCAGAAATACATCCATAGGATACAAATGTCCCCACATTCCACTGCATTGTCAGTTTCCCGACAGACAGCAGTCTTTTCATGAACAGTGTGACAGCAAACAGCTTGACAAACTGGTTTCGAAAATTTTTATTTTTTTATTTAATTATATAAGTGGGATCATAGAAATGATTTTTTTAAAGCAACATTTTATGCTTTTCTACTTTATTCTATCTTTCCTTCCTTTTATAAATCTTATATTCTCATATTTACAAACAATACACAAAGTGATAAAAAAATCCCAAACTTTTAGGACTTGTTGACCTGGATTATTTTTTTTATTTGAAATCAAGTCAATTACCTTGTCTTCAAAGAAGATGCAGCCCACCAGCTGAGCACATGCTACGTGATAGATATTGTTACATCTTTGCTTAAAGCAACCGAGGGAAGCTCCAGTTTTGATACAAACAACACATTTCTGTTTGGAGCTACGTTTATATGCCTGTTGTACATTCATTAGTGCACCATTCAGTGTCTCATACACCTCCTGAGACCACAGGGCACAGTTTAGATGAGCCCATTTGTCTATATCCATGTTCAGAAGCCTGAAATAAAATTACAGTTGTACTATTAGTATCAACATACCATGTTCTGTCACAAACATGACAAAATCTGACTTATTTCTAATCTTTCATATAAAGTTAAGGAGTCACTAACACCAAGCACAGTATTTCTTATTTTTATATTTCTTATAAAGATCAGGTATCATAAAAAATGTTCTCTCATCTTATTCTTTCTAAAAGTCATGTTAATACATGTTGCATCATGTCAAGTCCTGTAACATCATGTAAAGTACTGCCATATCATGCCAAGTCCTGCCACATCATGTCAAGTCCTGTAACCTGTCAAGTCCTGCTACACCAAGTCAAGTTCTGTAATATAATGTCAAGTCCTGCCATATCATATTAAGTCCTTCCATTGTAACATTATGTTCAGTTCTGTAACATCATGCCAAGGCCTTTAAGATCATGGCAAGTCCTGTAACATCATGTCAAGTCATCTAACATTATGTCAACCCTGTCACATCATGTCAAGTCCTGTAACATCATGTCAAGTCCTGTAACATCATGTCAAGTCCTTTAACATCATGTCAAGTCCTGCTTATTAAGTAAAGTCCTGCAACATCATGTTAAGTCTTGTAACATAATGTCAAGTCCTGCTTATCAAGTTATGTCCTGTAACATTATGCCAAGTCCTATAACATCATGTTCAGTCTTGCAACAACATGTCCAATCCTGTTATGTCCAGCCACATCATGTTAAGTCTTGTTACATCATATTTAGTCTTGGAACTTCATGTCAAGCCATACTTAACTTGCTTCTGACCACCAAATCACAGACTTGAATTACATATGTGAATGCAAGTCTAATAACATAAATTAGTGACTATAATACCCACCTTCCAGAACCATTAGAGTCACCATCACTGTATTCCTGACAGAATTCACATATTCTCTTGTCCTTTATCTTCTCTTTATCATGTCTTATAGCCACAGAGAAACTATGCCATAACTGAAATATATATTTCATATACATCAATTTATATGTTTTAACTTAAGTTAATAAAATATCAATTTGCCGTACTCTTTAATTTCATACAGAGTGTATATATATATCAGAATTATCAATTTAATATACAACATTTT